TGAGGAAGTCTCTCGGATGAGAGACGAAACGTTTCTACATTTTTTTGTTGTTTTGCTTTGTTTTTTTTGTTTTTTAATGTCCAGAGGACCAGATTTAACTTTTTTAGATAATTTAACATTGTAAAATTCCCTACTATCCCTATATTCCTTCTAATTTCCCTATACAAGCGGTGCAAGAATTTGGTTCGCATTGCTGGCAGTAAGTTGGACCCCTTCAGGGTCTGAGTTGGACTCCACCAGGGCTGCCCATTGTCACCGATTCTGTTCATAACTTTTATGGACAGAACTTCTCAGTGCAACCAGGGGATGAGGGATTCAGGTTCGGTGGCCTCAGGCTTCCATCTCTACTCTTTGCAGATGATGTGGTCTTGTTGGCGTCAACGTGCTGTGATCTTCAGCTCTCACTGGAGCGGTTCACAGCCGAGTGTGAAGCGGCTGGAATGAATCAGCACCTCCAAACCTGACATGGTCCTCAGTCAGAAAAGGGTGGATTGCTCTCCGTGTCGAGGGTGAGGTTCTGCTTCAAGTGGCAGAGTTCAAGCATCTTGGGTTTTGTTCACGAGTGAGGGAAGGATGGCGCGTGAGACAGACAGAGGGATTGGTGCAGCATCTGTAGTATTGCAGACTATGTGCCGGTCCATTGTGGTGAAAAGGGAGCTGTGCTGTAAGGCAAAGCTCTCTGTTTACCAGTCGGTTTACATTCCTACCCTCACCTATGGTCACAAGCTCTGGGTAGAATGAGTAGAATGAGCTTGCTGATACAGGCGGTTGAAATGAGTTTCCTCTGCAGGTTAGCTGGACTCTCCCTTAGAGATAGGGTGAGAAGTTCAGTTATCAAGAGAGACTCAGAGTAGAACCACTGCTCCTCCACATCAAGAGGAGCCAGTTAAGGTGGTTCAGGCATCTGGTAAGGATGTTCCCTGGGTGCCTCCCTCTGGAGGTGCTTTGGGCATGTCCGACTGGAAGGAGACCCAGGACACGCTGGAAAGACTATGTCTCTTAGTTGACCTGGGAACACCTTGGAGTCCTCCCAGAAGAGCTGGAAGAGGTAGTTGTGGAAAGGGATGTCTGGACCTCCCTGCTCAAGCTGCTGCCCCCAAGACCTGACTTCGAAATAAAAGGAAGATAATGGATGGATGGAACGTTGTCAAATATTTGATGAATTCTGTTAAAATGTTCCCATGCATTTTATTATTCTGACTGAGCCAGTGCATTATGGTGTAAAGATGATGGCATGTCTTTTTGTAGCCTAGCATGAAAAGTACATTACACATTTCTGCCTTCTTCTGTGCACCCCTGAATCTGTCTTTGTGTTCCAATGGTGTCTTAATGTGTGTGTGTTTGTAGAAGAGCAGTCAGCAGATTTCCCCTGTGGCCATGAGGCTCCAGCAAGGATCTGTAGCAATGGGACCATCTGCAGGGACTACTGGCTCGGACCTAATTTTGGAATCACCAATTTTGACAACATCCTTTTTGCCATTCTCACCGTTTTTCAGTGCATCACGATGGAGGGATGGGTGGATATACTATACAATGTGAGTTAACATACAAAAAACACATCTTTGAATGCAAGAACGCCGTTCGAACCAATCAGTACCAAGCAGGTATTTAGCATCCTTTTATAAAGTAGGGTTTTCTAACTACATTTATCACTCAAATAATAGATGTTTTGTTACAGAATACAAAAATACTTGCCTAATTGATAGGAACAATTATAGTTTCACTACTTAACACAATTTTAAACAATTTAAAATTGAGCAAATAACATCACATAACCAGACTTCCTGTCTGTCTTAATTGTTTCCTCACTGTAATAAGAGCAGTCTGTGAATAAATTTATTTCAAGATGGACATTTACAATTTAATAATCCTTATGGGCTAGGGGTTCAAGAGTGTTTGGCATGCTGCAGGGACAGGGGATTAAACCTTGGATCCTCTGATCCATCCGTAACACCTAACATCCGTAATGTGGGGGGGACACAATGATGTGTGTAGGTGTGTGTGCGCGCGTGTGTGCGCGTGTGCACGTGTGCGCACGTTAAAAAAAGGTGTTCACTAGTGAACAAAAAAGCAGCATTTCACCTAGATTTCCTTTAATTCCACACATTTAAAACATGTTTCTCACCAAGTTTGTGTAAATTCATCTGTGGATTTTAAAGACATTTTAACTTTAATACACTTTAATACAGAGCGTCAGATCAGCACTATTTGTGTTTATAGAGAAATAAAAAACATCACCACTGGACTTATTTTTACTTGTGTTCAACACTCCACATCTAAATGATGTTTCTCATGAAGCTTGAGGACAATAAGGTGTGGGGTTTTAAAGACATTTCAACTTTAATGCACCTGAACACACAGCGTCTCTTGCACCTGCAGCGTCTTACAGCGTCACAGTTACTGCTGAGCTAAGATGTTACAGACAAAGCGCTCCTCTCAAGCATCCTCCTAACATGAATATATGTTTATGATCAACCACCCTGGTCAACAACTGCCCGCACAAAGCTGCTAAACTGGCGAGCGAGGAACACAGATACCACCACCTCCTTCACCTGTGCGCAATTTCTGCCGAGGCAAGAGGCAGGAAGGGACGGTGGAGAGTTGAAGGTAACCAGGAAAACCTGGAGTGGAGTTTTAGTGGCTTGAATATTCTCCTATTAATCAAGTGGAATGGATTCGTTCACGAAGAAAGAGAAACTGCACCGCCTGAACTAATGTTTTATAGTAGAAGTGGGGGGGGGGGGGCC